TTCCCTCTAATTTTGCCTCTAATCCTTGTAGGTACATCATGAATAATAAGGGTGACAGGGGGCACCCCTGCCTAAGCCCCCGTTTTACCTCTGCAGGCTTGGATACCTGTTTTCAGGTATCCAAGCCCTACTCCATGCTCCTACTCTGCAGCGCCCTCTCATGTTCATTTGAGTTGCGAATAGTGTTTGGATTGTCATAGTAATTCAAAAAGTGGAAGTCGATACAGTTTTTATGAAATGCAGTACAAGTATGTATGAATATAGAGGACTGGTGGTTTGATAGAAGTTTATTAGAAACAGTACATGAAAACATCACATAACATCAGTGGCGTACCAACTCTTTCGCGTGTGGGGGGCGAGAGGAAAAGCTATTAGTCACTATATATATATATATATATATATATATATATATATATATATATATATATATATATATATATATATATATATATATATATATATATATTACTTTCTATGCACGGTTACCACACAACTTTCAGAATGAATACAGAATACCTCAGAATGCTGAGGACATCGCCGAAGTTGATGGCGGCCTCCTCCACAGTAAATATTTTATCATTAAATGAAATCTTTAAATGACTGAAGACAGCTCACAAAGAATTCGGTTTTTAAATGTGAAGGAATCCTTGAGGAACCAAAGCTACATTGAGCATTTTTATCTACTTAGCTTCCCACTTTGCAAGCATGCAACCGTCGCTTCAAGTTGCATGCAATAAGCTAGGCTGATCAGATTTATCGGAGATTAAAGTGGAAACTTTTTTTTGGCTCTTCTAGTACGGGAAAACTAAAATATTTAGCAAGATTAGTCGCAATCGTGTGCTCACAGCAGCTTCGACAGAGCAGCGGTGATGGTAATGCTTTTCGATGAAAGAAAATGGTTTTCGTGAAGAAGAAAATGCTTGCTTGCTTGTTCCTTTCTTTTGTGGCTCTCACCCACTAAGGGGGATTGGCCAAGAAGCCGGTGGTTAATGCAAGTAAATACCTATAGATGTTCTAGATTAGGGGAATATGATTACTGTGTTTTGACTGTGAAATTAATTTGGCGCAATGTCAGAAAAAAAAGAAAAAAAAGAAAAAAAAGGGGGGGAGAAATAATAGAATTTGTTGAATATCTGTGGTGGAATCGTTATATGAAATTCTCCTGAAAGTTGAATCATTGCAGTGTATCAGCTAAATAATAAGTGGTAGTGTGACTAGTAAAATTCGAGAGCTGATCGCCGACTCAGCAAGGTAATCTTCTTGTGTTATATATGCATTCGCAGAGAGCCCCGCAGATGTTCCTGTCGCTGTGTCCCAATGAAGTGGCCCCAAAAGACAAAATATTGGGAGTATTAAGTGATATTCCTAGTTTTCTGAATAAAATTTCGAAGCAGTTTTTTCTTTGATTTTTGAATCGGTGACATGTGATAAGAAAATGGTCGATATGTTCAGGTTCGTTACAGCTTGAGCACAGAGGGGATGGCACCAGACCAGACCTGTTTAAGTAGAAATTAAGAGGTGGTACACGGCAACGTAATTTTGTTACCAAGACTTCCAATTTACGCGTGGGACACCATTTATTATTTTATGTGAAGTGCAGGTGCGAGAAATCTGGATTCGGTATCATGGTTTTTGATGAGTCTTCAAGAAGGGAAAGTTTTCTAAACCTCGCTGCTGTTACATAAGCTGTAGGAGGCATGATTGGCACAATCGGAAGATTAAGAGATGTTCGCGCAAGTTTGTCAGCCATCTCGTTTATAAATATACTACGATGGCCTGGCACCCATATCATTCGCACTAGACGAATGTTTGCTGGGATTAATGATTTGAAAGTCTCTAGTACTGCTGATGTCGACGACGATGATAAGAATGAACACACGGAATACGAGTCAGTCACTATCACAGCTGTCGAATGAGTCGCAGGAAGTTTATGAATAGCTAGTATAAACTTTGACCAGTCCATAAACTTTTTTTTTTCGTTCCCATCTATAACGGCATCGGCCAGTTGCAGCATAATAAAAACATGAACAAGTGATGTTATAGTACGGGGCCCCTGTTCAGCGCTAGCCTGCTATGCAGTGCTGCAGCGCAGGGCGGAAATCGTTGCAAAGAACCTTCAAGGAAATCGTCACCGCTGAAATGTTAGAAAATTATCACTATATTGCAACTTTTCCTCGTAATATTTTCTTTTTCCCGTAACAAAATAATCGAGTTATTACAGTGAAGGAAATTTTCGCCTTAGTTTTTCCCAGCGTGCACTTTTCTCAGTGGGAGGCTGGCGCCCCCCGTGCCCCCCCCCCCCCCGGCTGATACGCCTATGCATAACATAGGGCTTCACCTTCTTGGCTTTATTCTGCGTAGCACGCTGGTTCAGCCCTCTAAGCAGAAAATGGACACGTACGCGTAATGCTTCAGTCCGGCTCTTTTCATTGCGGATCTGCTACTCACGGGGCGTGTCGCCCACAGGGACGTCCGACACGCCAATGTGTTATATTGAAGAAACAACTTTTCTATTGGCTTACCCCCGTATTCTAGAACGTCCTTTCACTCAACGCTTCACCTTCACTTGAGAAAGCAGATTGGAGCGCTGTCTCTAGGCACGACAAGTCACTGCATATCAACAACAATCTGCTGCGATTCTTGAGTAGCGCAGAGTCATTTTCAGTTGGGTGGTGGCGCAGTGCTCAGCTCTGTCAAGTGAAGGAAGAAAGTCGAGTCGAGGAGCGTTTGTAAATATAGGGGTTAAACATGTACGAATAACATGTGTACCTTGACTCAAAATGCTTTTCGCAAACTGCAGAATTCTCTTGGAGTGGATTGTCGGCCCTTGGTATGACACGTGCTAACTTTTCTAAATTATCTTCGCGGGCAGGCGCATGAAACAGGTCAAGTCTTGTTCGATTTGGCTTGCACTGCCTGCAGTAGTTCTGCAAAGTGTCACAGCAGCGCCAGCACTGCCGTGGGTGCGCGGCACCAGTTCAGCAGGTGCAGCTGCGACACTAAAGCGCGGCAGCTACTGTCAAAACAAAGATGCAAGTGAAGGAAGAGTTCGTGGTGTGTATCACAGTGTTTACCATCGATATACATGGTGTGTTCGATGGCGTTGTTTACCAAAATACTGCCGTGATGGCTGTCTTCAAGTCATATACATGAAAAAAAAAAAGCTGCTCGATAGAGTCGATGATCCCGATGACGAGCTGTACAGTAACAGGGAAGGTGTTGACGGGGTTTGTTTTAACTGGTTGCTTGCTCGTTGTACGTGAAAATGTCAGTCATGTTCTCGGGTACAGGAACGCTGTCAAATAGATCAATTTGTAGCTGCAATGCACGTGTCTTTAGCTACCACATAATCATGTTTTGCCACCATAAGTCAAATCAATGCGTTGAATTGTTTTCTCCAATTTTCGGCAACAAAAAAAAAACGCAAAAACAAGAGGGCGGGATCCGAAACGGAAACATCGGCGTTGCGGTCTCATAATGGCTTTGAGTGGCGAAACACATGAGGGTAGGATATCCCACTAAAGTGAGGGCCTCAAAAGGAAAGCGCAAATGCTCCCGAAATTTCGTGCAATCGAAACAAGTGATTTCCGTCAAAACAACTAGTGTATGTCTTCACACGTGAACGGACGAGGTGGTGAGGCTGGCTGCCACGAAAGCGCGGGTTAAAACTCTGGCTTTGCTCGATACAAGGTATAAGCCAGCAACGACAAAACGCTCCAAGCCTTTTTTACATCTTTACCACCTTTATTCTATTGCTGCACCAGCCACGCGCCCTCGGAGCTCGTAGATCACTATCTCATCGGCGCACAGAGGTTTTGCAAACTGCAGTTTTGTTTTATTCATATGAGCTTTTAAAACTACCATTTTATATTTATGATTGCAACTACCGCGGTTTCGTCCACATAGTTTGCGGAAAGCAGCATTGCTCTGACTGGTCAAACGTTGGCCACGCGCACTCTTTTGGAGTTGTGTCACTGACGTCATCACCATGCATGATTGTGTAGAATAATCGCGGTTTCGTCCGCAGCGGTTGGAAACAACCACACGCACTGTAAATGACAGCGTGTGCACTGGTCGCACGCACACTTCCGAAGGTTGCTTGTCGATCAGCCTACATTCGAGTGTTTCCGTACTAAAGTTTATATCACATTAGGAAAAGTGTTCGGAACATTTGAATTTCGGCTTAATGGACAGATGAATTTGGCTGGGGAATTTCACGAATTTGTATTTATCGCGGTTTCACATCACTGAGAGTCTACGTTTAGACGAGCGCCTCTAAAATTTGTTTATAATAAAATGTGGTGGGCTCGCAAAAAGCCCGGAATGGACTGACCTCCAGCTTTGTCAATGTGGCCAGATCTTGCACACAAATTTCGATTTCCGGAAGATTTTCATGGCAACCAAACAAACGAAAGAAATCATCAAAATCCGGGAGTCTCCCGGACGATGTGGGAGACTTGGCAAGCGTGTATATTACTCGCATTACAGGAAAAATATTGGGCAACTCTCATTCCAAAACATGCTAGATAGCCCACAGACAGCCCCATCATCTCACTTCTTCGACACTTTCAATTTGTGCTGCAAAACATCACCAAGTCAGTGAGCACTTGTACACTTGCGATGGGTTTCGGAGAGTTAGCATTGTTAAATGACTGGCTCTGCTGGCACAAAAGTCAAGTGACATTCTAACAGGGCCACACTGGTGCCTGAAAAAGTGCAAAGGCAATGGCATTTGTTGGCTTCTGACCAAGCTGGAAACGAAGCCATCGCTTCATCAATTTGTAGAGAAATGCTAGTCATGAAACATTTTTTGAATGTGTTGTAGCACACTCAACCTTGCATCTTTGTAGCGTACACTCGTTTCTGATCTCTTTTTTCAACCGAATGACAACACACCTTTCTATTTTACACAGTACCAATTGCAAAACATTTGTCAATTGATGCACCTTTACACAAATGCACAAATAAATAAAATAAAGTTGCAGAGGAAACACAGCGGGTGTAGAATAAGAGACACTTTATTAAATACCCAAAAGAAAAAAAAGACGTCCTTATACAATTACAACAGAAACACACAATTACAAAATAACATAAACTGCACATACTGCTGCAGAATTGCAATGCAGAAGTAAAAATAAATTTGCTGCAAACTGCCACAGCACAAACCTCAAGGCATGCACTCTTTGCTGCCTACTGGGACTGCATTTAATAAGCACACAGGTTCCACTTCTGCACATCGTGCAAGTGAAAAGTGTATACTATCTTTATGTTAATTTATGTTTAATTTAACACAAATGAGACATTAAACAACTGAATTTCTAAAAGATATAACACATAACACGCACACAAGTAAACTCAAGAAAAAAACTAAAAAAACTCAAGAAAAAAAAAAAAACACGGAACTTTTTGAACTTGCAGATCCCCGGTTTGCAGTCTTGCTGCTTGTTGCTGTAGATGATGCGAATTCAGCTTCATTTTGTTGTTTAAGCACAGCACATCTGCTGGTTCCCTAGAGCACAGGTCCTCAACTCATTTCTTCGTTTTCCTAAATTGTTTTAAACTTGATATCTAGCCCTTGCCGTAGAACCTTGTTTAGACTGAGTATCAGCGTGGGCCTGCAACAAAGGAAAGTAAAACAATCAGCAAACAATCAGCACACCATGTTGCATTTGGTATCAAGATATCGATGATGTAACTTGTGGCCACGCTAATCAGCACGCTCATAAATGTTCTACAATGCCTTCTGAGCCACCTTAAGAATTTAATGGATGTCGCAGTAGCTTTGTGTTCTGCTGTAGTTGAATAAATTTCCTTCCTTGTGTGGAGCATCTTTTACCATGCGCGAGACACTGGAACGAAACACTACAAAATTCGATGCATTTATATTATGTATTTTTTAGAACTCCAGACGTTCGGTAGGGTTTGTCTCTTACCACATATAGCACCAGAAGTGCTATATGTGGTAAGCGCCGAAACCGTTGAATGGCCATAACGTAGGGGGTGGTGGAAACGACGCCGATGACAAACCACCTAGAGAGATGCAGACATCTGCAAAAACAAGAAATTTGCTGCGTATGCTTCGAAATAAGGTGGAGTGCAGAGGTGAGGAAAATCATCTGATGCAACGCGTAAAGCAGCTGGATGACGTCTTTCTAGGCCCGAGCACGACAACAAAGGAGACGAGCATTAGGAATTTTTCTCCGCTAAATAAAATGGCAGGGGTGCAAAATCCAGTTAGTTACCGCCTCTTGTGCGATATTTTTTTTGTCTTTCACACTTTCACGATAAGAAACATTAGAAAATGCTGCTTAAGAGCCATTAACTATGTAGTAGTGATTTTGCTAAAAAGTGCTTCATTTTTCGTGGCTATGTGCGCAACTTCGCTTATTTAAAAAATCCAATTATCTCAAAATTTTCTTTGGTTTTTACAACTTTGAGTTAACGAGGTATTACTGTATGGGGTGTGAGCTAATCGGTGGCCGGAAAGGTTTTTAGGGGTCGCACAAACGCTAATTTACGAGGCTTTCATTGTGTCAGAAGATTCATAGACGCTCGTGGCGATACCGAGCATGGCTCCAAGCACGTCTAAATTGCATCACGAAAGCTTATTGGCAGCACTCCATACGACTGTGAAGTGGACAGTGCTTCACAGACGACTGTGAAGTGGACAGTGCTGCGGGCGCGTGATGCACTTGGCAGCGGCATTCGGCCACGATGCACAAAATGTGTAGCTACGATGACAAAGAAATCTGCACGCACTGCACTTGGTATATCGCATTTTTGAGTGCCGATGCGAGAAAATGTTAGCCGCTGTTCCGAACAATCTTTGCAGTGGGAGGAGAGGTTGACGAGCTTGGTTGTGGGGTCCGCTGCCGATGCGTAAAATGCTCGTCCACGGTTCCGAGGAGATAGCGAGTGATGTGCTTCGTTGCCTGAGAAGAAGCACGTTTTCATGAGTGCGCTAGCGCGTCGTTCTCGACCGCAAAGTTCGTCTCGCTGTCAGCGAAGTTAGGCCTAAAGACGACTCCGGTGAAACGCTGCACTCGTAGACTGCGCGCTTCATCGTAGTAATCTGATCGAGCATCCGCTTGCAATTCCTAACTAAAGCGTAATTATATCCTAAGTGATCGTGGAGCCGTGAACACTCACAAAGTGGCGATTTTCGACAACCATGTTTTTGCGACACACAAGCAGCAGACCACAATCTCCCGGAGCGAGCATCGGGCCAATGGCGAGGCGAGCTGAGGCAACAACGGCGGCCAGAGCCAATCAGGGGCCTCAAAATGACCTTCAAACATTTGCTTTTTGTACGCTTGTTTTTAAAGGGAGGAGCCAGCTGAAGCGGGTAATTTGAACACTGAGAAATGATCTTTCCGATGAGCCCAAAAAGCCTGCTCCGGGCCATGCCATGGTGAAGCTATGATTTTTTGAAAATCGCAGTTTTTTCGCGATTTCACTGTTCATACCGTTTTAAGTGAAGGTCGTCGAGAACTGGGACGAGCGCCTCCAAATGTTCTCCGGCTAGTGCTGCTGGTGTCTGGAAGCGGCAATCGGTGATCTAATGACATTGATCAGCATCTTAAGTAGGTTGATGAGCTAGGCATCGTCTTTCGCAGAGGTCAAATTGTTTGCAATCTTTTCCACTGTAGGAGGGGCGCCTTAGTAGAAGCTCGTTCCGACACTTTGCGAGAAGTGATCTTTTCAGAGACTGCCTTGGACATTTTCTGTGGAAGCGCCGGCCACGATGTTGCCGAGGGGGTAGTTCCGCTTCTGCTCTTCCTTCTGAGGTAGATTTTTAGTACTATACTTTCAAAGTAAAGGTACATCAGTTTTGCCTTTTACAGCGGGTAGACGCGTATTGCGGTTGAGAGTGTTCTCTTCCGATACTTTACCTTTGGCTATTTTTTTCAGAACCTTCAATTTTTTCTTCATGGTGGGACATTCTTTGTTGCCAAGTGCTCGCCGTTACAGTTAGGGCATCGAGATGTTGAGCTGTCACAAAATTTTACGTTGTGCATTGCGCCCCATTTGGCACAAACCAAAACACTTGTGCAGAAACTCTGCACATGTCCAAGCTTCAGGCATTTACGACACTGTAAGAGCCTTGGTATGAAGGGTCGAACTGGGTACCGCACTTATGTGACTAGGAAGCTTTTCACATTCGAAAGCAATCTTTACGCACTTTGAAGAGTTTAGTCTACGGACACGCATAATTTTGCATGAAGGCGTCCAAACGATAAGGCTCTTCAAAACGTCCTCTTGAAGTTTTAAGTCCACGTCAGATATAAAAAAGCCCATGTGTCGACACCACAGAGATGCAATAGACCAAGTAGGGTTTGCACCGTCTTTTTATCTGTTGTGTCAACTATGATATTCTTCTGCGGGTTCACACGAACATCTTGAACAAGACCAGGGGACAAGTTGAAGAAAAAGTTATGTAGCTTCTGCTTGGAGATAACATTGAGGCTTACCGTCACGCCAGCAGGCAGGTACGCAGACTACAGTCGTGATCTCGATGTTGTATATGACAGTGTCCTCCCTTGAGGACGTTGTCGAAGACTTCTGTCCTCTTGTATTTCGGCAACCAGAAGTTGCAGGGGGCCATATCAGGAGAGTAAGAAGCCTGTTCAACTACAGCAAGTCTGCCTTTTTGCCAAAAAAAGTCTGAACCAAGTGTGAGGATTGTGTAGGAGCATTGTCATGATGAATGCGCCAATTTCCTGTTGACCACAAGCCAGGTCTCTTTCGTCGCACAGCATCACGTAGGCGATGAAGGATATCCCTGCAGTACTCTTTAGGGATTGTTTGACCCTCTGGTGCATACTTGTGGTGTACCACACCGTGGGAGTCAAAGAAAGCACCCAGCATCACTTTGACGTTGCTGCGCACTTGGCAGGCCTTCTTTGGTCTTGGTGATGTGGGATACTTCCACTGTAATGTCTGGAATTTGGTTTCTGGGTAGCATGCGTACACCCACAACCCGTCTCTAGTGATTACAGTGTTCATGACGCTTGGGTCACTGTTTGTGAAATCCAGTATGCCCTGTAAGACTTCAACACTAAATTGGTTTTGCTCCTTCGTGAGCAGTTTCAGCACGAATTGGGCCGCAACTCTCTTCATGGCTAAATCTTGGAACATAGCAGAATGTGCAGAGCAAGTGCTGACGCCCACCTCTTCAACGATTTCCAAGATGGTAACACGACAGTCCCGCATCACCACAGCATTCACTTCGGCAATGACCTGGTCATTTTGGCACGTTGATGGCCAATCGGAGCACGGTTCGCTCTCCACCGATGTGGCAGTCTTTAAACCAGTTGTACCACTCCTTAATCTGTGCCCGGCTCATAATGTCTACACTGAAAGCTGTCTCGATATTCGCAATTGTTCCCACTTGGCTGTCGCCCACTTTCTGGCAAAATTTGATACAGTAGTGCTGCTTTAGTCGCTCTGTCCTTTTCCTCGCAATGAAAAACTGATGACAGCATTGCGCACTACCTCTGCGTCTCAGCGACTGACGCTATTGGAAAGCGGGAAAAAATTCACACATGTGCACAAACATTCAAGGTCGGACGACTTTACCGTGCTTGTTTCAAACCCATGAGGTGCTCGAAAAAAAAAAAAAAAAAAGACCGTGTAAAAATTTGCAACCACGAACACTTTAGTTGCTCCTGCCAATTTCATTGAGGAATGTTCCTTGAAATTAGCAAAAGAGGCAGTCAAAACCCACTTCTTTTTCAGCAGAAAGCATCCTCCATGGGATGTTTTACGTAATTAGTGGCAAGCTGATGAAGATTATTAGTGCACTGTCAGAATGTGACTAAGTCAGCACCATTTTTCATTGTCCTCTCAAGTAATTCAGTACATCCTTCATTATCAATGAATGATAACAATTAGTTATGCAGAACAAAATTTAATGCATTACTTTAGACAATATCTATAAGAAGTAAAACGATAAACAACTTTTTAGCATATAACAGCTGCTATTCTTAGGTTTTTCAAGGCTCCAAAGGAAAAGTAGCATGGCTACACACTCGTGAAAAGCGACATCAGCGGCCTTCAACATCCCACCTTGACACGATTAACGCTGAATGTAGACCAAAGCCTCAACCAGTGCAGAAAGAAGCAGCAGGTTTCCTTATAAATGATAAAGAGTGCTTAACAGCGCAAAAAACAGGAGGGGATAGAAGAGATGAGACAGAGAAACTATCATGTTATATATACTAACACGCCCAATCCTACTGTTCCTTATAAATGATGCCAGGAAATGCCAAACACATAGGGTAGCAATGTGATCAGAACATACCTGGTATGGAACGATGTTTCGTGGGTGCATGCGTAACTTCTCCTTCAATGTCTTCCTGCAGAAGGATCAAAGAGCACACAAAGATTAAATGATGATTACAATACGCCCTCATGTGAAACTGCAGACCATGAGAGGGCGCAGCTCTAATGCACTTCGATGTGCTGTGTTCTAATTGCAAAGAGACTGCGAAAAAATGCTAACCCTCTATTGCATTAATTGTGAAAGTCATCATAAAAATTATTTTTCCAGGTTTTATTATTGATTGAATAAACCTAGATGTATAAGAAAAAGTTTCAGGGTTACGATGCCTTTATTAATAAAAATACAGCTTTGTGCCAAATACAGCACACTATGAAGATGGCAGAGCAGTCTTGCTGCCATGGGCGAAAACATGACATCGTGGAAGTTGGTCTTTTTAGCGCGATGTGTGGAATGAAATGAAACAGTTGTTTGCTGCATTCAGGCACAGATAATTGGTGCACTTCTTGCATCTTACTGACGACTTCTTTTAAGCAAGATTGCCGCTAACATCGATCTTCTCATCAAATTCAGGCCAGTGGCCGACTTGGTCAGATTGTATGTCTTTGGGGGCCATTGGTGCAGCCAGTCGCCGTGCTTTTTTTACTTGAGCCTAGAATTCTATGTGTTCTCTAGAACGCCTCCCTGGTCGTTTTTTGGGTAGGCCCTTGTTGTGAGAGGTAAGGCATTTTGCAATTTCTGTTTTGAATTGAGCCAACGGTAGTATTTTCTTCCTAATCTGCTCCTGCAGCCTCTAGTACAGTAGCCATGCTACTACTATTGATAAGTCTTGCATATGCGTAAAAATTTGAAAGTGCCACTTTTTCTACCCGATATGCACGCGGTAAAGTCCAAGCAGCGAGTCCAGCGGGTCGATTCCGCCAATGTGTCTATTGTAGACCTTTACTATGCTGGGGCAAACATTCTAACGAAACTCCTTGGCTAAGGTAAACCAGCTTAGTCTTTTGGACTGGACAAAGCTTGACAGAAATGACATGGCACGGTTATCGTTGATTTGATTGATATGTGGGGTTTAACATCCCAAAAACCACCATATGATGAGAGACGACGTAGTGGAGAGTCCAGAAATTTTGACCACTTGGGGTTCTTTAATGTGCACTCAAATCTGAGCACACGAGCCTACAGCATTTTTGCCTCCATCGAAAATGCAGCCACTGCAGCCGGGATTCGAACCTGCGACCTGCAGGTCAGCAGCTAAGTACCTTAGCCACTAGACCACTGCGGCGGGGCGGCGTGGTTATCGTACCAACGCACACACGATAACTCCATATACTCTATCTAGTTGCGATTTCCTCTGAAGTATCTCGTCCTTTACATCTCATTTTTTTTCGCTGTTCAAGCGGCGTTTTCGTAAACGATTCGCCCTCACTGTACCGAGCCTCGAAATTCCATCTTGTGATGGAGTGACCAGTGATAACGTGAACACATTCATTGCGCTGCCGTGCTACACCTTCACCGCATAACACCTATATTTCTTCCCGCATGATTTCCTGCTATCTGCGACATGGTAAATGCTTGTTTGCGGTACTGAGCAGCAGTTACGGAGGAAATCGAATAACCAAAGCTCGAAGGCTACGCATTACATATATTTCTCGTTTTACTTCACAGATGGCACCAAGATACCAATTTTGTCTTTATAGTTCATGCGTGCCAAATTTGGCACACAGATTTCGGGTTCTTTGGTGTAGTTGCACAGGGACTTCAGAAAACTAATGGGCTTGAATTTCTGAAACCATAAAGTATGCAACAATATTTTTTTTTTCATGTTTGTTAGGTGAAAACGTTCATCGAATAAAAAATTTCTCCTGTTGACCGCCTACAAGTTGCACGCTGCATCCCATGCCTCTTTTTTGCGTATTGCTCGAGATATAGAATTACTTCGAAAGTATCACATTATCAAGTTGGCAGCCCACACCCGTAAAAAAAAAAAAGGTAAACGGTATGTCCCTAATATAGGACGCCATGCAATAGAGGGTTTTAACTCTTCCTGGCGTGGCTGTATCCTCTTACACCAGTGTTTTGTAGAGTTACACCACATCAGATCTAAAAAAGTTGGCTGCCAGCCTCAATTCGCACAACCCCCTGTGGTGCAATTGACTTTAGCTATGTACAGCCACCCATTTTTTAAACCTTAACGCACAAGCATCTACTCCTGAGTTGATAAGCACTGTACTACAAAGCATAGTGGAGAAATGAATCAGAATATGTGTGCACTTGACGAGCAGTCCTGTGCACCTGTCTCGACTAGACTGTTTCGGGAGCCTACCACCATTGCTTTTCCTGAACACCATTAGCGCCATCTTTCTCACTATTTTTTTAACACTGCCATGACCATTAATATTATATATATATATATATATATATATGTATAACAGTTTCACTGTATCAAAGAACACACAAAATTAAACGATGATTACAAAATGCCCTAATGCAAAACTAGAGGGCAGCGGTCTACGCCACCATAAAACTGTGTTTTGGCCCTGTGATGATGCGGTTCTGGCCCATGTCATGTATTTGTTTACCTCATTAACCTCACCGATGCCTCGCACTGCATTTCTCACGTCCTGCCTCCAAGTAGCTGACACGAGCGACACATGAGGAAACCCGCCTGGCTCAGTCTATGGCTGTGCATCTATGACAAAATAAGTGACCTCGCGCTACGCTGCCGATATGAACATAGCCGCGACAACAGGCTACTCCTACCCGAAAAGGGTGAAGAGGATGAGCAAGAAACCAAAACCTGCAGTAATGGATGTTTTATCTCCTGTAATTTTCATTATTACATCATTGTACACAAAATTCTTGCAGCAGCATGTCTACATCCCACAAGAGTGCAGTGATCATATCTAGGCTTGTGCAAATTGTGAATTTTAAGTCCGGAGCAAATTCAAAGCTAATAGTAATTTGCTCGAATTATTTCAAATAGATTTGAAATAGTATAAATTACATACAAAGAAAAATCGACGTATTTATCATGACCTAATCAACCTGGACAATATATTTTTTATACTGAAATAAGGCCTCTATGCAAATGCCCATTTTTTGTTTCGTTCAAAATAAGTCGAAACAGCTGAGTGGCAGCAGGATCAGACTTTTTGAAGGATGCGAGTCAAAACCTGTAGAATACGTAACATTTTAATACTCATTATAATTAGAGCATATAAGCCCTCATAACAAGCTTTTAAGCTTAATAAAATGATCAATTGATTTTAGGGCAATATGTTCACTTAAAGGGGCCCCAAAACGCTTTTTCAAATAGCCACGGAATGAATTAATTAAAAAAGCCTATTGCTTCAGGAATTCACCGCCACAAAAATTTTTAGAATCCATCCCGTACAAGCGGAGTTGCAAAGATTTGTTGCACGCTGCAATTGCATTCTCTTGTCCAGACAAAGGCTCTCGAAGCCAGGTAGGGATAGATGGCGCAGCAAAATAAAATACGTCCCATGCACCTTGTAACCTTGAGCACCTTTTTTCTTCGAATATGCGGCTTTTCAGTGTGATCGCGCACACACAAGTGGACAAGTCATGGCCTCTCGCGGCGGCCCCAGTGACGACCGAGCACGCCATGTTCAATTCAGCCAATGGCTGATGCAATGGCTGTGATGAGTGATTTTTGAGCTAGTGGTGTCATTTGCTGAGAAAAGAGTAATTTGCAGCTAACTTTGAGAATTTATTGTAAATTGCAGGACGCGTGCTGCACTATATAACTTGGCTTGCGTGTTCTCGGTAGCCACAACTACATGTCAGGAGCGTTTTCAAACCATGCTGAAAAAGTGTTGCACGACCCCTTTAAATTTGAAGGGTTCGCGGCAAAGCTGATTTCCCCTGTATGGGTGCTTTCACGACTTAGCACTCCAACATAGCAGTGAAACTACTTTTACAGGCCGTTACATGCGAATTATTATAGTATATCCATTCGTTCATTGCGAATACTTCGAAATTTTCAATTTTATAAATTCGAATCGAAGCGAATTCGACTACTCTACTATTCGTTCGAATATTTGAAGCAATTGAATATTTGCACAAGCCTAATCAAATCCTTCTAGGTAGTCACCTCTATCGCAAATTTCAGACAAGAGGTTGTTTACTCAGCGTTCAAGCGCAGAGATTTAGTAGTGTTTGGCTCCCATACAATATACACAGGGTGTCTAACAATTTGCTTTTTCAAAATTCCCTAACTTTTGTACATTTCCCATGATGATTTAAAGCAAATTCCATGACCGTTAGGTCTGCTTCCTTGAGACCTTAAAGTGCTAAAAAATTAAGCGCTCTAATAAAGTAAGTAAATAAATGTACTACAAGTGCTCAGAATGTTCTGAGCTCGTGCGGTAAATACGAAAAAAACGTATATATCTGGCCAAAATGCAACCACCAAGTCAGAGAGTAAGGAAATTGGCTGTTTATTGTTTGGAAGAACCAGAAAGCAAACACAAGTTAATATTACCCGCGGCTAAAAGTTCGAAGGAGATGACTGCTTTACAATACAGCCAAAGCTGCTAGAAAACGAGGAAGTCACTATTTTGGGGCATCTGTGTAAAAGTAGGACGCCGAAGCCCGACCAGTTCCGCCACTGGAATATATTATAGTTCACTATAATAGTTACAGCCCAGGCCCCTTAGGATGTCTATTGGATTACATCGACCTGTATTTACTGCCTGTATTTACTGACTACTGTTTAGGATGTGGCTTGAATTAGATTTGATGCGACCTGGATTGTTGTATTTTTACTATTGCTTTGGATCCCCACCTAAATTGCCCACCTCTAGTATTGATTGATATGTGGGGTTTAACGTCCCAAAACCACTATATGATTATGAGAGACGCCGTAGTGGAGGGCTCCGGAAATTTAGACCACCTGGGGTTCTTTAACGTGCACCCAAATCTGAGCACACGGGCCTACAACATTTCCGCCTCCATCGGAAATGCAGCCGCTGCCCACCTCTAGTATATACTTTTCCAGCAAAAAAGAAAAAAAAAAAAAAAACACCCTACTGCTTGCGTATTCGGTGCACC